CGGCCCTTTTGTCTTTGGTATAGAGGAGGGCTTCTGATTTTTTTGAGTTGATTTTGTATCCTGCCACTTTGCTGAAGGTGTTTATCAGCTGGAGGAGTTCTCTGGTTGAATTTTTGGGTTTGCTCATATATACTATCATATCATCTGCGAATAGTGACACTTTGACCTCTTCCTTTCCGATTTGTATCCCCTTGATCTCCTTTAGTTGTCTTATTGCTCTGGCTAGGACTTCAAGTACTATGTTGAAGAGGTAGGGAGAGAGTGGGCAGCCTTGTCTTGTCCCTGATTTCAGTGGGATTGATTTAAGTTTCTCTCCATTCAGTTTGATGTTGGCTATAGGCTTGCTGTATATTGCCTTTACTATGTTTAGATATGTGCCTTGTATTCCTGATCTCTCCAAGACTTTAAACATGAATGGGTGTTGGACTTTGTCAAATACTTTTTCAGCATCTAAGGAGATGATCATGTGGTTTTTCTCCTTCATTTGTTTATGTGGTGGATTACTTTGATGGATTTCCGTATGTTGAACCACCCTTGCATGCCTGGGATGAAGCCTACTTGGTCGTGGTGGATGATATCTTTGATGTGTTCTTGGATTCGGTTTGCAAGTATTTTATTGAGTATTTTTGCGTCAATGTTCATAAGAGAGATAGGTCTGAAGTTCCCTTTTTTAGTTGGGTCTTTGTGTGGTTTAGGTATCAGGGTGACTGTTGCTTCATAGAATGAGTTTGGTAATGTACCTTCTGTTTCTATTTTGTGGAATATTTTGAGGAGAATTGGTGTGAACACTTCTTTGAAGGTCTGGTAGAATTCCGTGCTGAAACTATCTGGCCTAGGGCTTTTTTTGGAGGGGAGACTGTGAATGACTGCTTCAATTTCCTTGGGGGATATAGGGCTATTCAATCTTTCTACCTGATTTTGACTTAATGTTGGAAGATGGAATCTATCAAGAAAATTGTCCATTTCATTTAGGTTTTCAAATTTTGTGGCATATAGGCTTTTGTAGTATGACCTAATGATTGTTTGAATTTCCTCTGTGTCTGTAGTTATGTCACCCTTTTCATCTCTGATTTTGTTGATTTGGATAGATTCTCTCTGCTTTTTATTTAGTTTGGCTAAGGGTTTGTCTATCTTGTTGATTTTCTCAAAGAACCAGCTTTTTGTTTCATTGATTCTTTGAATAGTTTTGTTTCTAATTGATTGATTTCAGCCTTAAGTTTGATTATTTCCAGCTGTCTGCTCCTCTTGGGTATATCTGCTTCTTTTTTTTCTAGGGTTTTCAGTTGGGCCATTAAGTTATTTGTATGTGCTGTTACGAAATTCTTCTTGCAGGCACTTAGTGCTATAAATTTTCCCCTGAGCACTGCTTTCAATGTGTCCCATAAATTGGGTATGTTGTGCCTTCATTTTCATTGAATTCTAGGAAGTCTTTAATTTCTTTCTTTATTTCTTCCTTAACCCAGCTGTTGTTGAGTAACAAGTTGTTCAGTTTCCATGTGCGTGTAGGCTGTTTGTTATTTCTGTTGTTGTTGAGATCAAGCTTAAGTCCATGGTGGTCAGATAGAATACAAGGGGTTATTTCAATCTTTTTGTATCTGTTGAGGCTTGCTTTATGACCAACTATATGGTCTATTTTGGAGGAGGTTCCATGTGGTGCTAAAAAGAAGGTATACTCTTTTGAGTTTGGATGAAAAGATCTGTAGACGTCTATTAGGTCCATTTGATTTAGGGTCTCTGTAAGTGTTTTTATTTCCCTATTTGTTTTCTGTCTAGTTGATCTGTCCCTTGGTGAGAGTGGAGTGTTGAAGTCTCCCACTATTAGGGTTTTAGGATCAATGTGTGATTTAAGCTTTAATATTATTTCATTTATGAATGTAGGTGCTCTTGTATTTGGGGCATAGATATTCAAAATTGTGATGTCCTCTTGGTGGATTTTTCCTTTGATGAGAATATAGTGGCCGTCCTTATCTTTTTTGATTAACTTGGGTTGAAAGTCTATTTTATTAGATATTAGGATGTCTACTCCCGCTTGTTTTCTGGAACCATTTGCTTGAAAGACATTTTTCCAGCCCTTTACTCTGAGGTAGTGTTTATCTTTGTTGCATAGGTGTGTTTCTTGGATGCAACAGAATAATGGATCCTGTTTCCGCAACCATTCTGTTAGTCTGTGTCTTTTAATTGGGGAGTTGAGTCCGTTGATGTTGATAGAAACTAGTGACCAACAATTGTTACTTCAGATGTGGTGTTGGTAGTGTCACTGAGTTTCATTGCTTGTCTTCTTTTGGTTTTTTTGTTGTGTAGTTATCTATTTCCTCTGTTTCCTTCTATGTAGTTGTTTTCTTTGGTTTGGAGTTTCCCTTCTAGTAACTTCTGTAGAGCTGGGTTACTATGTAGATATTGTTTAAATTTGGTTTTGTCTTGGAATATCTTGAATTCTCCATCTATGTTGATTGAAAGTTTTGCTGGGTATAGTAGTCTGGGTTGGAATCTGTGGTCCCTTAAGGACTGTATGATTTCTGTCCAGGCCCTTCTGGCTTTCATAGTTTCTGTTGAGAAATCTGGTGTGATTCTGATAGGTCTACCTTCATATGTTACTTGGCCTTTTTCCCTTGCTGCTTTTAGAATTTTTTCTTTGTTTTGTAGGTTCAGTGTTTTGACTATGATGTGACGTGAAGAATTTCTTTTCTGGTCTAGTCTACTTGGTGTTCTGTAGGCCTCTTGTATGTTTATGGCCATCTCCTTCTTTAAGTTGGGAAAGTTTTCTTCTATACTTTTCTTGAAAATATTTTCCGGACCTTTGAGCCTGTTGTCTTCTTTTTCTTCTACTCCTATTATTCTTAGGTTTTGTCTTTTCATGGTGTCCTTGATTTCTTGGATGTTTTGTGTTTGGAACTTTTCTGATTTTATTTTTTCTTTGAGAGATGTGTCAATTTCCGCAAGTGTATCTTCGGCTCCTGAGATTCTTTCTTCCATCTCTTGTATTCTGTTGGTGATGCTTACCTTTGTAGTTCCTGATCTTTTCTCTATGTTCTCCAGCTCCTGGTTTTTCTCTATTTGTGTTTTCTTTATTGATTCTAATTCTGTTTTCCTGTCTTGCACCATTTCCTTCATCTGTTTGAATGTGGACTCCTGCTTTTCAATGATAGCTTCTATTTTTTTGTTCGTTTCCTCTCTATGTATCACTAATTGTGCCTCTACTTCTTTGGGTATAATTGCCTGTATTTCTATGAGAGCTTTGTTTATTTCTTCTTTATTTGCCTTCATTTGTGTGGACATTTCTTTGAGAGCTTTGTGCATTTCTTCTCTGTTTGCTTCAATTTTCGTGGTCATTTCTCTGAGAGCACGATTTGTTTCCTCTTGGTTAGTCTCGATTTCTTTGGTTATTTCTCTGAGGGCTTTATTCATTTCATCTCTATGGGCTTCTAATAGTTGGAGAAACATAGTTTTGAGGTCGTTTTCTTGTATATCTAGTGAATTGAAGTGTCCATTGTTTTGTGGGGTTGCTGGTGAGGTCATTATGTCCTGATTTTTGTTGGGAGTGTTCTACGTCTGCCTCTAGCCATCTGGTTATTTATAATCCTCACTGGTTGTTCCTCGAGATTGTAGTTTGGGCTATGATCCTCTCTTTCTGTTTTCTGGACTGTTTTTTCAGGAAGATGAGAGAGGTTCACTGCTTTGGGAGTGTGCACTGTGTTTTCAGTTTTGCCTAAGTAAGGAATGTGACGCTAGCGCTATTCGTGTGCGCTTATAGCGGGCGCAGTGTGCATGCTCGGATTCTCTGACTATTGCAGTGGCCTGCAAGCCACTATTACGCAGTTCTGACTGAGATCCATGGTACTGCATTCTGGTTGATCCTCCTTTTGAATTATCTCCCGCTTTAGGCCTAGAGCTAAGCCACATAGTCACTCTCAGGTTTCCTTCTTTCTTCCTTTCTAGCTCCACATATCTTAAGGAAGGGTCCTATGACTTTAGATGTTTCAAGTTATTCACACACCAATAGGTTGTTGGTTTTGTTTACTTGTTGTCTTGTCTTTTAAACAGGGCTGGCTATGTAACTCAGGATGGCTTTGAAGTCATGACCCTCCTGCTTCAGCCTTCCAAGCAATAGATATAAGCATGCATTGGGTGCTAACAGTTTCTACTGTTTCTTCCATTAACCTCTTTTCTTCTTAGCTTTCTGCCCGCTAGATATTTACTCCTGTTTAGCTGAAGCCACACATTCACATAAAAAGAACAAATCCATAACACTTACTAGGCTGTCCCCTATCTACATTTGAAGGTGGAGAGTGTGATGTTTGTTGGTGAGAGATGAGAGATGAATAGGGACTGACGTATCTCAAGGGAGAGAATCTAATCTGTTTTTAGTGCTATATGCCCACATTTGTCATATTATAGTTCACAATTGCTGACACCTAAAATCCAAAAATTAAAATGCTATAAATTTCCTTCTGATTGCTTCCAATGTGTTAAAATTAGAATCTCCTTAAATGGCTTTACCTAGTCTAGAACAATAAAAACAGGACACTAACTAGAAATGAATGGATCCAAGACAGTCATTTTGCCAGTAGCTAGGTCAGGATGCTGGAGATGTCACTCTTAGGTCACTTGCAGTACAGTCCATCCATATTTCTACTGAGCCCTGAATGACTGAAGACAACATCCATGTGGAGAAAATGCTAAAGGAACCTCTACCCTAAGGCATGTGTTTGTACGGCTATAGTGTTCCTTCTCCAGTTTTTTCCTTTATTAGAAATGCCACCTACTGGGAACAATTAAAAAGGTGCCATCTTGAAACCATCACAAAACTGGGCATCCTTGTACTCCCAGCACTGTGGAGGCAGACACAGATGGATCTGTTCTGAGGCCTCCTTGGGCTGCTTAGCTAGATCATTTCCCAAAATAAAAGAAACAAGAATTGAACATGGCAAAATGCAATTTTAGCATTAAAAAATATTGGTGCTGTTATGTTAAAGTTTATATATACTTTGATTTCTTTATAGGTGCCAAAGAGCGTTCTGCAATTTATGAAGCATTTGAAAACATGTATCCTATTCTAGAGAGTGTTAAGAAATTCTGAGTGTATCATTGGGCTTCTAGTAATGGTTTGGATATGTGTTGAAGCATAGCAGTGAAAGAGCTGCTTTCTTCTACACATGGCTCTAGAAGTCGTCTCCCATGTTTTCTAGAAGACACTGGCCCCTGTTTCTATGCTAATAGGTTATGGGTGTTTTGTTTGATTTTTGCCTTGTTTGGAAATAAGGTCTGTTATGTCCAAAGTGCAGTTTGATTTACAGAATGATTCTGTGTAAATAGCTATGATTAAAAAATGAAAAATTCTTGCTCAAAATGACTCTTGTATGTTACTTAATTATAAAAAACAAGAACAAGTGAATTTAATTCAGAATTTGAAATACTTCAGGACTTGCTAGGCTAAGGCATTGAGTCCATGCTTTATTTTTTATTTTTAAGTCTGCAGTGTATTAATACATAGAAATTTCAAGTGACTCATATCTTGATACTACCTGTAAAATCATAGCCTATCCATAGAAAGTTATGTTTAATTCTTTTTTTTTTTTCATGTGAAGTAAGGAAGAAGCAGAATTCAAACCCTTTGGTGATAAATACTGTGAAAATTCCTTGGGGAAAGCCAATGAAATAAACCAAACTTTAAAATTCTTTGTTTGAAATAAACAAATTGTTTATTTGAAATTGTTCTCCAGTAGCAACCAGCCTGTTATTCTGTTATTATGCTAATGGAATTGTGGGTTTTGTTTGGTTTTGCCTTCTTTTACATACAAGGTGTACTATGTAGCCAAAAGTGCACTTTGACACATTCACTACATTTTAAAATCTTAAACTTTCAGGAGTCATTACAGTTTAGGGAAAGCCAGTTAGAAAACAACACAGGGAATTTGGGCTTTTTAAAATTACTTTTTCAATACCACCTGATTGTATTTAAACATACCCTGGAGAAGTAGCATAGATTTCAGGTCAAAGATCTAGGTAGGCTGTAGACACTAACATTTGAATTGTAGACACTAACATTTGAATTGAGCATGGGAAGTTTGGGCACATGCTCTTGTGAATCAGGCTCTAGCCCTAATATGGTTACTGACATTGTCCCTTCTAAGGTAGATTTCATTCACCAGGTAGAATACATAGAAAATACCACTTGGTGCCTAGAAGGCAGTGCTGAGTGCTGGGATGTGTGAGTCAGGGGAGAAAGTCCCACTGAATTCAGAGCTTTTAACAATGGGCAGCCTACCAATGCTATCCTTGAGATCATTTGTCCAACTAGACATGCAGTCCCACCTCTCTGTCCTCCAGCTATGACTTAAATCCAATGATCTGATATAAACCCACTTTCTCTAAAGAAATTTAGAGGAAGTTGTAATGAGTACAGATTCTCTTAAAGCATGGCCCAGTGGGTAGGGAAGACAAAAGCCATTAGCACACAGTTTTCTGGCTTTGCTGGGGCACTTTGCTCAGGAGGCTGCCACAGCAGGTTTGAGGGCTGCACAGGCTTCTTAGAGAGGTAACCCATGGCAGTTCAGTCTCCAAGTGGCTTCCCTAGTAATGAGAACAGAAACTGTCTCTGACATGAACTCAGTGGGTGGCTCTTTAATCACCTCTCCCTGAGTGGGGAGCCGTCTTACCAGGCCACAGAGGAAGACAATGCAGCCAGTCCTGATGAGACCTGATAGGCTAGGGCCAGAGGGAAGGGGAAAAGGGCCTCACCTATCTTGTACTTGGGGAGTGGCATGGGAGGAGAGGAAGAATTGGGAGGGGATAAGAGAGGGGGCTACAGCTGGGATACAAAGTGAATAAACTATAATTAATAAAAATAAATTAATTTTAAAAAAGAAAAGACAACATTAAAATTGTTTCTAGGTGTCCACTAATCCACAAGATAGCCCCACTGCTTCCATTTGCTTCTCTCCTGCCATTAGGAGTGAGAAGACCACAATAAAACAAAAGGATATTTACAACCATAGTTAAGTCTGAAGGTAGCCATTTTTTAAATGGATGTTGTGTTAGCAATCAGGCACCTCCACAGCCAGGCCCAGAGACTCAGAGGGATGTCATCACTAGCTTCCAAGAAGTGACGCATTCCCACTGTCACCACGAATTGTGTATTCTTCCCCTGTGCACTTGCTACATTCCTTTATAAAAGGCCTGTTCCTCCCTGACCCCACCTCTCATTCCCTCCATCCTCACCCAGACACAGCCTCTGTATCTCCTCCTTTAATAAACCTCCCATGTGAGATGTCACAAGATGTGATTTTATTGTGTCTGCAGCACAGATCGTAATATGGTGTAACTCTGGGAATCACTTGAGTTAGGTTTCCTAGCTTTCATGTAGATTACATATTCTTCTACATATGTATATGTAGGAAACACCAATAGTAAAGAGCAAAGAGGCTATGGCAAGACCTAAGTGTACAGGAAGAGCTGTCAGTAGGTATGATATCACACAGGGTAGGTTAGGGGCTTAGGTGGAGCCTAGAAAGATATCTCAGCAGTTAAGAGCACTAATTGTTCTTCCAGAGGGCATGTGTTTGGTTCCTAGTACCCACAGAGAGGTTAACAGCCACCTGTAACTCAGCACCTGGCAGTCAGGAAGTGTACCCACTGGTACAAGCTGTCAAAACACCCATAAATGTAATAAAATAAAATTGAGGGGGGGGATGTGGCAGAGATGGGGTACAGGTCCTAATTTCAACCAAAGTCCTAAAAGCATTCCCTCATTAGAAAACCCCAGATTCACTTTTACACAAGTAGAGGCACAGAACATCAGAATTCTGTAGCAAATCAAATTCCTGCAGCCTGAAAGCACAGGAATACCCTCATGTACATAACAAGAATTACTTGCTTGTAATTCTTGTAAATTCTTGTAAAAAAGGCACTACACTTTAACCTAAAGAGGAATTCTCTTGTTTCTCCTCCTTCCCTTTCTCCTCCTCATCTGCCTTCTCCTTCATTATTATTAAAAATAGATTTTCTCAAATAATACATTCTGATCATACACTCTTCCCATGTATATCCCACATCCTATTTCAAACAGGTCTATTCCCTTTCTCTAGTTAGAACAGACATCTAAAGGATAATAATAAAATGTAACAAAGTAAAACACAAGATAAAACAAAAACTAACACATAAATTGGACAAGATAAACAAGAAGAAAAAGAACCCAAGAAAAGGCACAAGAATCAAGAGATCCACTTGTTCACTCACTCAAGAATCCCCTAAAAACACTAAACTGAAAGCCATAAAACACAGACACACACACACACACACACACACACACACACACACACACACACACAAAGGACCTGCTGTAGACCTGTGTAGGCCCTGCTTATGCTGCTTCAGTCTCTGCGAACTCATATGAGCTTTGTTCATATTTATTTAGAAGGCTTTGTTTAGTGTTCTTCATCAGTGTTAGTATTTATTTTAAAATGATGCCATGCACACAACAGATATTATATGAAAGAGATTTATTGGATGGAGGTGGAGAGATAGAAAAAGGAAAGAAAGAGATGTGACCCCCCAGCCCTAGCCCCCTTAAAACAGCCCCTTAAAAAGCTTCTGTGCATATGATAAAGCTCCATGAAGAGGAAAAAAATCTCTTAAAGGAGTCTATGAAAACACAAATAGGCAGTGGAAGGAAATGAATAAAATTATTCAAGATCTGAAAGTGGAAATAGAATAAGAAACCCAAACTGAGGGAAATCTGGAAATGAAAAATTTAGGAACTTGAATAGAAACCAACCACAGAGGCAAGCTTCACCAATAGAATACAAGAGATGTAAGAGAGAATCCCAGGCATTGAAGACACACTAGAAGAAATGGATACATTGATCAAATAAAATGTTAAATCTAAAACAAAACAAAACAAAAACAACAGCAACAACAAAACCCTCCTGATAGGAAACATCCAATAAATCTAGGACACTATGACAAGACAAACCTAAGAATAATAGGAATAGATGAATGAGAAAAAACCCAGGCCAAAGGCTCAGAAAATATTTTCAACAAAATAACAGAAAAACTTTTTTTAACCTAAAAAAGGAGATGCCTATAAATGTACAAGAAGCATACAGAAAACCAAATAGATATGGCCCAGAAAAGAAAATGTCTCCCTACATCCCTGCACAGAATAATCAAAACACTAAACACACAGAACAAAGAAAAAATTAAAAGCTGCCAGGGGAAAAGACTAAGTAACATATAAAGGCAAACCTATTAAAATGACACCTGTTTTCTCAATGGAGACCTTAAAACTCAGTAGGGCCTGGGTAGATGTCTTGTAGTCTCTAAGATACCTCAAATACTAACCCAGACTACTATACCCACCAAAACTTTTAATCAACATAAACGGAGAAAATAAAATATTCCTTGGTAAAAAAAAAAAAAAATTAAGATACATACCCCCACATACCCAGCCCTACAGCAGATGTTAGAAAGTAAACTCCAATCTAAAGAGGTTAACTCTATCCAAAGAATCATGAGGAATAAATAATTCCAGACCAGAAAAGTCAAGTGAAAAGAAGTGTGCATGTACATATGTACATACATACACACACACACACACACCACCACCACCACCACCACCAACATAACAGTAATCAACAATTATTAGTCACTGATATCTCTCAATATCAGTGGTTTCAATTCCCACACTAAAAAGATACAGACTAACAGAATGGAAACAAAAACAGGATCTATCCTGGTGCTGTATCCAAAGCGCTGTATCCTTAACATCAAGGCCAGACATCACCTCATGGTAAAAAACTGAAAAAATATTTTCCAAGCAAATGGACTTAGGAAGTAAGCTGGCATAGCCTTTCTAATGTTTAACAAAATAGACTTCAAACCAAAACTAATCAGGAGTGATAAGGAAGGACACTACAAAAAAAAAAAAAAACAAAAACAAACAAACAAACAAAAAAAACCCAACCAAACAAACAAAAAAAAAACCCACCAAAATGACATTAAATTCTTAACATCTATGCCCCAAACACAAGGACATCCAAATTTGTAAAAGACCTTCAACAGCTTAAATCACATACTGAT